GTATGTGTGTGTGTGTGTGTGTGTGTGTGTGTGTGTTTCTGTTTGAAAAGAAAAGCCTTCAAACACATACAAAAAAAAATCACCGTTTCCCTCTGGTGGACAAACTCTGTAACTACAACATGTTTCTAAAAGACTTCAAGCCTTCTTTGATATTTTTGCAGTTCCTCATTATGTCTGTTCGTAGATGCTGTGATGAGCGAATGAAGTCAGACTGTAGATTTTCCTTCTTCTAGCTGTACTGACTGACCTTTGACCTCATGTGTTGATGACTCTTCACCTCTGTCTCCTCTCACAGGAAGAAGATGATCTGCAGGATCCTGCTGCTCATCATCCTCACCTCATGTGTCTCTGGTTAGTTTACAGCTTCACTTTATGAACTCCAAATAAAGCTCAACAACAGATTTGTTCCAGTTCTCAGTGTGTCTGTTCCTCTCTTTCCCTCTCTGTCTCCTCAACAGGATCATTTGTAGTCAATGTGACACAGACCTGCTATCAGGCAGAGGAGAACCACAACATCACACTGGAGTGGACGTTCACCACCAAACCTGACAGATCCAACAAAATGCTCAACATCTTTTGTGAACTCTTTATCAGTGATGAAGTCTCAGTCCTGTATCGTGTTCATGAAGGTGTTGAGGTGTCAGAGTCTCAGGATGAAAAGTTTTCAGGACGAGTCCAGAGTGACAAAGACGCCCTCAGAGAAGGACGAATCAGACTTCAGCTGTCCAGACTCAGGACTGATGACTCGGGTCTGTACCTGTGTGAGGTCAACACGGATTATGGCTTCAGTGTTGGAAGATGTCGACTCAATGTCACTGGTCAGTTATAGAATCCAGATTTTTTTAAGGTATTATTATCACTGTGAGTCTGACAAAATTTCATGGAGTTCAGATCCAGAGAAGGCCATTATTTTTCTGATGATCATTTTCTTTTTGTGTTACAGAATGTTACAAAACATTTGCTCTGCAAACAATTCGTTTACAAAGTTGATTTACTGTTGTTCTTCCTTTTTGTTCCTGGCTCAAAATTAGTTCCCACGTTAGAGTGTTGTGGTCTCTTTTCTTAAGGTTTTGTTTAGTCTTCCTTCTCCAGCCTTTCACAGTTTATGACTGAAAGTTGTGTTGTATAGCCTGTTACACTATAGCAAGAGAGAGTTTGTGCTCAGAAACTGTTTTATATTTGTTAGTAGTTTAAAAAATAACATAAAGAATAATGTAAAGTTCAGTTTGAGTTTTGGTTATTTTGCAGGAGCCAAAAATTCAAAGGAAAAGTACTGGAAGACAGTTAAAACTGCTTTGGCAGGCGGACAGATTGCAGTTATAATACTTACTGGTTTGATTGTCGGAATAGGTGAAATAGTTGACCCTAAATTCTTCATTAGCAAAGGGTAAGTTAGTGTTTCCTGTCATTTTTAAAAACAAACTACATTTTTAAAACCCTGTTTTCTGATTTTTGTCATTGTTTTATGTTTTTTTTTTTGGTTTACTTTACTTTTGCTTACTCTACAGAGTAAGAGAAGAGACCGCATCAGATGCAGATGAAACAACAGTTCCTCCTCAACTATTGGTGTGAAGTATTTTCTTACACTTTACTGATTACACTGAATAAAACTTGCTGATACTTAAAATTCACTCAAGGAGATCTCCCTCACAATTAGATAACTTTTTCATGTTACTTGTCAAGGAAAATTGTTTTATTTTTATTAAAATGATAGCTTGGTAAAATCAACCAGACCAGTGCACCAATTATCATTCAAGTTCTTCAATCTGATTTTTAAAAGATTTATAAAAATGTTAAAATAATTTTGGCTTACAGATATGCAAACAAACCATGCTACACACCATGTTTAGTGACTGAGAATGTGATAAGGATTTGTATGAGTTTGGCAAATTGTGTCTAAGTACATGAACAGTGTTAAAAGGTTTGGCCCTAAGAGTGCTTGATTCAAAAACTAAGTTAAAGACACAGAATTTGGCTTAAAAAACTGGAGTTTATTTTTTCAGCAATTTAGAAAAACTCTAACATCCACTCTTTCGAGTAGTAGACTCCTATACTAAATCCAGCTATATTCCACATGCACAGATCTAGAGGAGAGCTGCTGAAACAGGTGTGACTGGTAAGATAAGTTCTGCGAAGCTACTCAGGTCCCCTTGTATTTATCATGCAAAGACTGATCAAATGATCACTGACTTAGGTTAACTAATATATATACATATATATATATGTGTATATATATACACATATATATATATGTATATATATATACACATATAT